CAACAACAACAACAACAATAACAACAACAACAACAACAACAACAACAACAACAACAACAACAACAACAACAACAACAACAACAACAACAACAACAACAACAAAAGGATCAAACTGAAACTCAGCAGTCTACGGTGCCTGACAGTAATGTAAATTTAGATGCTAAATTGAATTCTGAAACTGTCTTGGCCGCGAGCCTGTCGGAGAGTACATTGGCTGAAGTACACGAACGTTTAAACGACGACACTTTCGCGGATGATTTGGGGAATCAGATCGATGCAACAAGACAAGAACTACCGTTTTCAATCGCCTTGATTGAAAAAGTTAGACGGTACCGATGCCTTTGGAATGTATCACTAAATTCTAACAAGGATAAGCAAAAAAAATGGAAGCTTGGCGCAGGATAGCAGCAGTCTTGAATCTACCAGGTATAAATACTGAATAATTTATCATCTTAATGTACATATGTGAATGCCCCCACAGAGGATGCTTCCTCTTCAAAAGTAGATATATAATTTGCTTTACTATATCTGAATATCTGATATCACTAAAATTGAAATAGCTAACATTTATGGAGTACAAAGGCAAGACGTTTTGTATTTGGCTCTTGTTTTAAATGAAAGCCGAATTGCAACCAAGCAACATTGGTAAATTGGTCATTTTAGAAATTGCCAGTACCCCTCCCCCCCCCCCCATCTATATCAGATGTCCAGAAATCGTTAATGGATTTACTATTATAAGAAATAATGACATAAATTAACAGTGAGTCCTTTCCAATGCCCTCTAAGGTGCCGATTACATGGAACATTTTCAACCCCGGGGTTGAACTCAGCCCTGTTTACCGGTGCCCCAGTTGATTTGGACCCCCGGGTCCAAATCTACTAGTGGATACGGACTCCCAGCGGTCCAAATCTACTAGTAAATATGGACCCCCGTTGGCGGATTTGGACCCATTCAAAAGTTAAATATATGTAATATGAACACAACAATATAAACCGAATTAATTAACCAAATTCATAATAGCGATCAATCTGAAGCATTTTATCACTTTAAATATTTGTGATAAAGGCCACAAAACGTAGGAATACAATCATAGAAATGTAGAATACAATCATAGAAATTGCTTACGGCATTTGAATCGACACGAAACACGATTTTCATGAATGTTTTTAAACAATAAGTGATGGTGACTCACCTAAATGAAAGCCTGCGACTATCCACTAATGGGTTTTTAACAAAAGCTATAGAAATAGAATATTAGAGCAACGCGATTCTATGAATATTTTTAAACAATAAGCATAGACAGATTTTCATATTTATCACTGGGATGGTGCCAGAAATTTTAGGGGGTGAGCCATGAGCAGGTGACTGAAGCAACACAAAGTGTCACCAAGGTGGAGCACTAGAGCTGCGAGGGGGAGTCTAGAGTGCAGAAAACAAAGTACCCCAGGAAAAATTTGAAAAAAATCATGATTTCTAGCTTCGAAAAAAAGTTTTTTGAAGTTGTCAATTTGTCATATCAATAGATTTGGCATGTCCGATTGTCTGTTGAGACTTGAGAGAGTTTTAGGCTTAAAGTTAAATGAACCTGTAAAAGTGTAAACCCAATAGGCCAATACACAATATGCTTTTACTTTAATAAAGTCATTGACATTGTATCGTTTGAATCCGAGTACAATTTATGATGCAACTCCGGTGTAAATAATATTTGGAGCATAAAGATTAAATCTAGGCAAGTCTATTTCCTAAAAGAATTAAAAACTAAAAATAATGTTCGTAAAAATTCCAAACGTTCCTTGCAGGTAAGCTATTTGCATGACAAGGCACTGAAAACTCTAGTCAGGGGAGATAATAGAGTTTCAAAACTTTGCAATTGCTCCAATAAACCAGTGAAAGCAAGCGAGGAGCGATTAGTTTCAGAGTGTTGCACTGTCTTTTTCTGTTCGAGTGCACTCCTACGTTTATTTTGTATCATCAACACTCTGCACGTTGGAGTGGCCATTTTAATTATATATTTATTATGCCGAGTATTGGAGGGGTGGGGTTGAAAATTTTTTTGGAGGGGTGGACAGCAGCGTGGTAGTGACTATTTATTACAAGAAAACAAGATGAAGGCTTTTATTACATCCGGGAATCAAAGCTGAGAACATATGGTATAGCCTTTCAACCCAGGTTGAAATTGTACATGTAATCACGAAAAAATTCATACCGGGTAACAAGGCTGAGTTCAACTCCAGGGTTGAAAGTTCTCCATGTAATCGGCCCCTAATATTTTCTCTTTCTAACCCCAGACAATTTACTTGTCAATGAAAGAATCTTTGATTGTTAATGTTTGACTATTTGCACAAGTGCGAGGCGACTAAAAATGGGACCTCGTATTGCTTCCACTGACTGTGTCAGCGAAAATAATCCTATGTTTAGCAAGTACATTGTGTCCCACACTTCTTTTCGGTAATTAATCTTACTAGCATTCTATTATTTCCTCTATTCTAGAGACTGTGATTACAAAAGAATTTGACTGATTAAAAGATAATTACCGTCGGCGCATTCGGAAAAGAGAGAAAAGGACACGCTCTGGTTGTGCAGGAACAAAATTACCCACCTGTGAATATTTTGTGGAGTTATCCTTTTTACGAGATATTGTGACTGACAGGAAAACTGAATCAAATATTCCTACAGAAATTACAATTCCGACCTCCTCTGTATACTCAACAACACCTCCAACTCACACTGTAACTGACACCAATAGTACACAATCCAATCCCTCAAGTTGTGATGCAATATCCATTCGGAATGCCCGAAAACGCAGGTCTGATCAACTTGATGAACTACTTGCACTAAGCCTCTCAAATGACAAGAGGAATGATAAGAAAGAAGCAACTAACAACATGGAGCAAACTCAGGATGAGGATGTTCTTTTTTGCTCTAGTTTAGTTAAAACATTTCAAAAATTGAAAGGCAAAATGAACAAAAAAGCAAAAATGATGGTGATGCAGGTTTTACTTGAATTTGAAGATGATGACGATAATGACGCATGAGTCAAATGTTTGTAGTTTTGTTAAGGACTGTTGCAAACTAGTTGTCAATTTTTTTAAAAGGTTAGTGTTAAAGAAGACATTTTGAACAAATTTATTTAAGTTAACTTATTTACATATTTTATTTAAGGTTTTTGAAACTTTGTAAATAATAAGGTTCAATATGGTTCATATATATGAAAATAGTTTTTACAAGATTTTACAATTTTCAATTTACAATTTGAAAATTTAACTTTGATAAATAACTAAATAAATAAACGTGATACTTTGAACTTTATCTGTCAATTCTGCTTATTAATATCGAAAGCATCCTCAGGATAATGTGTGGCAACACACTGTCATGGTACTTGTCCAGCACTTGATAAGAAGTAATTGCTGAAATCTTCACAAACAAGCTTGGCACTTCGTGAATAGTTGTTTGAGCCAGCTCTTGTTAGGTCTCTCAGTCCTTGATCTCTTTGAACAACACTCCGCCATTCCCCCTCCAACTGTGTGCCACCTGGTCCTTCAGTCTCAGTAAACCCAGCAGGACAATACTTAGATGCGCTTTCGAATGCTTTTTCACTCATTAGGTAGTTATGCAGAGCTACCGTTGCTTTGGTAATGTTGACAACCATTTCGACTCTTGCATGTATTGGGCGACGAAATACTCGGAATCTTGCTGCTACAATCCCAAAAGTGTTTTCAATTATACGTCTTGCCCTTGATAATCGATAGTTAAAAACTCTTTCCCGAATGCCAAGAACTTCTCTGGGATACGGTTTCATGAGTTTTTGCTTTAGCTGAAATGCATCGTCACCCACTAAAACATACAGGTACATTGTACCTGACCCAGGTAATGATTCTGCGTCGGGAATATGCAACTGCATTTTGGCAAAAGCATCCCCCATTCGACTGTTTGCAAATACAGCTCCATCACTATTGCTACCGGAATCGCCTATGTCCACCAAGGTAAACTTGTAATGTGCATCACAAACTGCCATCAAAACTATTGAATGGTTTTTTTTTATAATTGAAGAAGGAATAGCCAGACCTTTCAGGTGCTTGCATAACGACATGCTTACCGTCCAATGCTCCAATGCAGTGGGGAAAGTTTCAAATCAAATTAAGCTCATTAGCTATTCTTTTCCAATCGGTTTCATTTTTTGGACACTGCAGAAACTTGGGTGATAGGACTTGCCATAATGCTCCGCATGTTTCGTAAATAATTCTTCCAATAGAGGAAGGGCTTATTCGATAATTCATCGCAATAGTTGTTTGAGCGTCTCCAGTTGTTAGATATCGCATGGTAACACAGAGGCGCTCGTTCGGACCGATGCATTCCCGTTTTTGTGACGATTTTTGGATTATCGGAGCTACCATAGACAGAAGTTCTTCATACTGGACCACACTCATACGAAAGTATCTAAAGAAGTATTCTTCATCGTACAACCGTAAATCTTGAACTAAAAGGTAAAACTCTCCTTTCGTTTTGCGCTCCTTGAAAAGTTTTCGCTCCCACATTCGCTTTCTGTACATAGTTTTCTTTTCCCATCGACGTTTCATGAGCATAAGCAGCAAAGTTCTCCTTGTTACAGCCGCCATATTTGAATTTTCGCGCTGATACCGATACGCTTCGCATGATACGGTACGTTTCCACATGATGTGGAAATGGTACGGCCAAAAACTTGTTCGCGTATTTTGGCACGTTCCGGTGCGATATGGGCGAAGTGGAAAACGGCCTTTAAATGGCTTTACGAATCGTACTTTTCGTGCCCAATCTTTCACTCGGTCAAGGCAATAATTAAATACATGATGGTGTCATATACGGTTTGCCATGTCGAAAATATATTCTTCTTGTCAGATTGTAGATGATTAGAAGTGGTTTTACTGTTGTGGAATAACTGACGTGTGGCTGTGTGCTAAAACTGCGGACAGAACAATAGTGGCGTTTGTGAATGAGACTATATATGTTTTAAGGCGAAAAAAAGCGTACACCAAAGTATTAAATGACAATATTATGTCAATGACAATGATATTGTAATGCTGGATGATTCCGTTTGGCACCTGCCGTCTGCCAAAAAGATACTTGATATGTATAGCATTCAAATGTGCAGTATATAACATCCAGTTTACACTTGGTTTTATGCACATTTATCTAATAATTGGGTGTAATTATATGAACAGAGAACGTTAATAAATTTTAAAAAGCAAGTATGGATGAAAAATTTCCACGGGCGAAAAGTTTTTGAAGGCATAATTTTTTCTAAGGCCGCGGCTAAGGGTGGTAATGAATAGAAGGAATTGAGGGCCGGATGCCTTATTACATGCTAAATTTCAGCAGTTAGGTAAAGATAATGTTAATTTGACAGCACTGTGCCGACAAAACTATTGTGTCATCGGATTGGGAATATTTGAATGTCTAAAAACGCAAACCAAATTTAGAATGAATTTGTGCGTTAATTAATTACTAGCCGCCGTTTTCAAAAACAGCTGGATTGCAAACTGAGTTTGCAACTTCAGGAAGCGAGCAACGCTAATCGCATTATTAATTGGGGCTATAAGATGTCATTAATCCAGGTTCAGTTGCTTAAACGCAGTGTGAAACAAAGCAAGTAATAAGTTAATTTTCTGTTATGCATAGCGTGAATAATGTATGTTAGAGAATAGCGTGAATAATATTCAACCTAGATTTTGTTTATGTTCAAAGTATGGCATGATAATTCCATATCGAAACGTCGAAACTTATTTGGCGTCGGTATAGATCCGGGCAGTATAAAAAGTGCGGCGGCTTGAATGGCTTATGCACGTATACCGCCTTTCCCTAGGCCCTAGCTAGTGCGCACATGAATCTGGCACAAACGTTTTCACCATATTCACCAATATATATTTACATATTATTCCAAAAACAATAGCTGCATTGACACCATAGTCTAAACTATTTTACGGAATTTACGCCCGCGCCTGCGTTGTGGGGTAAGCAATAATATAAGACTCCTTTTAAGCTTCCACTGGTTAAGAAAAGATGGGACATCTTCATAACCTGACAGCAAAAGATGGGACAACTTTCTGACACAAGAGTTTATATAGTTAAATATGCCCTGGTTATAGTGGGTTTCAGTAAGTGTTACACATGGGGAAAAACCACTTTACATGCATGTATTGAAGAGTTAATATGCACTACATAGGTAGGCTGTCAAATTGGTAAATTGCGTGCATTTGCATGGGCGTTCCGAATGCAAATCTTGTTCATACGCAGAGTAATTCAGGTGCAATAGGGCGCTGAAGTTGGATTAGTTGGATTATTTTTTATGCACCCGGGAGAGAACAATTGAGCAAATAATTATGAGTCCGATAAAAATTGTTTGTGGTAATCTCATATATTCTCACCGCTACGCCTAATTAAAGCAGTGTATAAGAGAGGGTATTATATTGATATATAGGGTGTATAAAAAAACCTGCTAACTAACCCATTGAAATACAATGTTTTTAGACTTTGCATGATTCAGAACTATTTGATCCCAAGCGTACATATAGTAATTTCCATCAACGCGGTTAATTAAGTTAGATGGGAAGTTCAAATCTCGTACAGGAGAACAGGTGGGAAATTTGTCGTCGCTGACCAAATAATCGCGGGCTAATACAAAGCTCATTGCATTTTACATTCAAAACAAAGCAGAAAGTTAGCAAGAAGCTGTTTTAGCTGACGATTTTTTTCTTTTTGACGATTTAAAAATTAACGGTTATTCTCTTAAAAGTCGACTATGAATTCTTTGTGTTGGGATGATTTGTTTTGTAATCGAGTGATTGGAAGAAGTTAATATGGCGACGTGACATGGGAGTAAATACCGTATACGTCGATTTGTGACTTGTTTAAAAGCGTAATAAACGAAGAATGATGTGATATGAGAATGAAATGCAAGTTGAAATTAACTTTATATGCCTCAAATTTTCCATCCTATGTTTTTTAATGTAACTTCATCTGTCTAAGTTCAAAATACACGCTCGAGAAATTTGACAAATTTTGAAAATATGTAAAAATAGCTTGACTTTGAACTGTATTTTCTTCAACATAGCCCGTGGCCTCAATTTCAAATATAGCTAAATGAAAAGCAAAAGGTTTTGGCGTTTGTAGGTATCAAAATATCGTCAGGAAAATAGGGGCTCACAATGTTTTAGCTAAGTCTTTGAGACCCAGTTACTTATCACGTGTTGTCGTCAAATTTTTGCCAAGAATCAAAGGCCGAAATGTGAACTTCCTTCATAAAAACCGGCTCGAGAAGGGTCTAGTTTGAAAATTTAGCTATTAATTTCGATTTTTGAGCATATTTTGGTTACACGTTAAATATTTTTGTACTTGATAAGATTCAAAATTTGTTGTGTATTCAAGCCCGGCTTTAGTGTAATTTTCGTGATGACCGCAACAGAAAATTAATAAAGATATTTTAAAAACTGGCCGTGGCCTCACGATAAAACTTTCTAAAAACGTGCTCTGTTTCATGTATTTTTATTTGGTATCTTAGGTATAAGCATAAAGAAAGGGGCTCATACAGTTTACGAGGTTGTAAAAGGCATGACTTGCCTCTATTTCCATGTGACATTCGAAATTTTTCGACAGCAAAGTAGCAACTGTTTCAGATCGAATGCACACGGACAGCCCACCAGAGACAATGGCACGGTACTGAAATAGAACGTCACTAAAAAATTCTGTATGATTAATTTAGATCATGTCCATTTTCAACATAAAACAGT